GATGAGTCTTGTAATGATCTCTGTAATTTTTGGAGCTGGGTTTCTCTACATTTGGATGTGTTTGAAAATTTCCATGCTAACATGTTTTAGCTGACTTGCCAAGAAACGCAGTATTTGAGGAAAGCTAGAGCAAAGACCAAAGAAAAAGAGCAATAGTCAGCTATGATGCAGAGACGGAGCATCACCTCTACATTTCTGAAGAACTGTTTTCTGTGCATCCGACTGGCACTCTCTTCTATGCCCAGTCACTCCTCTCCATGGTTTGTGTTTGGAGGTGTTCCAAATGGAGCTCTGTGGCACATTCTCAGCTATTTCTATCTCTAATTCCTTTGGTAAGATCTAAACCTCCTTAGACTATCAAAATCATTTGGTCTTCTCTTTCCAATCGTATACATACGTTTTTAATATATTGAGGTACCTGGGGGCAATCACAGAGATCTCCCCCTTTCTGCCTACATATTGACACTTCTCTTGCTGCCAGATTCATTCAGGATGCCAGAGACCTAGGAAGAAATGATTCAAATCATCTCCTACAAGGAACTGGGCTCAGGTAATATACCTTGTTTGGCATGAAAGTGAAAACGGCATAATAGGATATGTTACTAACACGCTTATATCCCTGTTACGTTGAGCCCAACGGTCGGAGGACAGCATCTTAAAGAGATAAGAAAAAATGATACCCACTACCCCTTTCTTCTATCATCATCATCACCATCCAATACCTGCCCAAGCAGGGTCTAAACCAACTTCATGATGAAGTCTTATACTTAGATTATGCTATATATTTAAATTATAAATTAACAAGGCTCAAGTCTTAAGAACACTCCCTTTGGGATACAAAGTCACTGGATCCACAGTTATTAAAAGGTTTCTTATGTATAAAATCCTCTGAAAAAAGTAACACCATGCCTTGAAAATATTCTAAATAAAATGACAGAACAGAATTTTTACTGACGTCTTGTTTATGGCATAGAGAGAGAACTTGAAAGCAGGAATGACTAAAGGAAGAGGAACAGAGAACATCTTAGATGGAAAAGACAGAAAAACATCACAGAAAGAGGAGAGGCAGGTGTGGTAAAGACCAGACCCTCCCAGTTTGGACTTCATTGTTCCGTGGCTTCATTTTGAATGTGCCAACATCATATTTCCATGGACAGTAAAAATTGAAGCTATCATTGGTAACTTTTGAGGAAACAGGAAAAAAAGAGCTAGAATCATTTCAAGATAGATGCTTTTCCACCTGTTTTCCTTTAAAAACACACCCTCTTATGGAAGCTTTTAAAATCAACTGGGTAAGTTATTCACAATGGCCAGAACCACCATTTCTTCCCAATACAAGGTCATGCAGCTGAATTCTAAGTGAGAAGTCATTTCCTGATCTACTTTTCTCCAACACTCCATCTCAATCAACCACCCTGAAGATATATGCTGCGTATGTAAAGCAAATTAGAAACTTTTGTGCAAACAACCCTTTACATTTAAGAAAACCAAGTAAAGAGAAAAAAGGTTAAAATGCACCTACAAGCAGGACTCTGTTGAAAAGGCAATGAATTGGTACCTCCATAATTCACAGAACTCATAGTTTATGTTTTTGGATCTTACGAATTAAACTCCCTATTTGTGGTCATGTTATCACAGTTCTACTAAAGGCAAATGCCTTTGAATCTGAATGGTTTCAGGCATTTGTCTGAAGTAACTCACTCATGAGTAGGATTAAGGAAATGTACTTAATTTTCTCCAACCAAGAGCAAGCTTCCCTAGGGCACTGGAAGAGGGCTAATAAGAGGTTCATTTATTTCCACGCACCTGTGATTTTGTTCCTAAGCGGTGTGAATGGCTATTGAGTTCAATATCAGGACTTCTCGTTGCCAAATTACTTAGCTCTCATTTCATCTAGAGGTGAATCAAGAAGGCATCCTCTGATGTTTATGATATTGCCTTCCACATAACACTTGGAGAGAAAACAGAGGGAATTATTTACCTAGTTGGGTGAGAAAGGTGGAAAAGTACCTTCTCGTTTTTTTTAATTAAAATACTTTGTGACAGACATTTCTTTACTTCCTATATCACTCACATTTTTTCAGTTGCTGATAAGTGAATCATAATCCACAGTATCTCACATATTTTGGTGAGTAAGCAACGCAGACAAACACCTTTCTTGCTGCCCTTTTGAACACACACAAACATGGGTTGACTTTAACTGTTCATAGTTCCGCAACAACGAAACACTCAGTCAGAACTGCCTGATGTTGACCATCAATTCTAGGTCCACATGAAGACTGAATGAGGCAAGAATCTAACCTGTTAATAATTGACAGATTTCCCAATGTCCCCTTGGAAAATCTGGAAGAAAATTAGGCAAACAGAGGAAGAAGGGGTCTTTCCCCATGACTGCCAACCACCATATGCAATGTATTAATTTCTTGCTGTTCATTTTTTACTGGATCCGGACAAAGTGACTCTGCATTATCCCTTGGTTATTAGAAGAGTCTAATTGCTTGGAGTTAATTACTTGGACCTAAGAAGTTTGTCACTACATATCTATATCTTTATCTACAGATATTTTTATAACATAGGAGGAAGTCGAGTCCCCCGGCAAAGAGCATCTTTTCTGTTAGTTGGTTGGTTGGTTGGTTTCTTTGAGGTTGGGGGAGGTGCTCACCAGAGACACACACTGCCCCTTCGGACCTGGCCGGCAGGTGGTGGCTTCTGGGCTCCACAGCCTCTGCAAAGCGAGCGGTGGCTTGGTGCTCACAGTTGGTTGATGGGCAGGGCTCGGGGCGTCTTTGCGTACAAGCAACTCCCTGCTTCAGAGCACCTCCTGTAGTTCTGTCCCATTAACCTGAGCACAGCAGGTTGACGAATTTGGTTATAGAGGCACAGTTGGCAGCTTCTAATTAAATAATTATGCCTAAGCAGCTGCACGGAAGCTGTCATGCACCTTAGAAAGACAGTAGCCAGTTTTATGGATCCTAAGACAGAGGAAGAGTTAACACTTAGCTCTGGCTGTTACGTACAAAGGGCAAGTATATCGTATGCAGTACATGTGCTGTGCAACATGAAGTTGCTGTACGTTTGTGCTAGCCCGTCCATGGAGTGACGGAGAGCAAACCTTGGCAACCTCTCAGCAACCCAAAAAAGAAAGAAGCGATTATATGATCAAAGAACAGAGTCTGTTGAGAGCAATCTAAAAAGGACATAGTGTTATATGGATGAGTCTTTGATGAACACAGAAATGTCACTGAGCTAGTAGGCAAATACGCTCAGGTTCTGGGTATCATTTAGATGAGCAAGTGATTAGAATCAAGTGTAGTCTTTTTGAGGGGCTATGGTTGGTAGGTTTTCTTTTATTTGACTGAAGCTTCTTAAGAGGCTGTTTTCAAATATTAGAAATTGGAGAACAAGGTAAATATCACATACCTAGATTTAAACTCTATGATGCATGTTTTCCCCAAAAAGTTAGAAGATATTTATTCTACAGAATCACAGATAATGTCACACTCCTTTGTAGAAAGCTAAAAAGCTAAAGCCTTATCTCTGTAATAGTGGAAAATTCACCAGAAGGAAGAAAGCAGAATCTGGCAACTAAGTTCCAACATAGAGGAAGGTACAGATTACAGATAAAGGCCGTAGGTAGGGATACTGGACCAAATAATGCTTGTTCCAACACATGAGAACGCTACTGAACTGCTGGCTGATTTCATTTTTCTACACAGGCTCTTCTTTCTACACAATCCATTTGTCTTCACTTCCAAAAACCAAACGTGTGATAACCCAGTAGAGAGCAACTCGGCTTCCCACAGGCCTTGTCACCAAGGTTCCCAGCACCATCTCCAAATGAATAAACACAACTGTAGGCAAAAACCAGTCCAGGAAATTCAGTCGTATCTTTATGTGTAAAGACATTTAGATATTTTAATCCTCAAAATTTATGGATTTGCCTTAAAATAAGAACAGAGAAAAACTGGAAACATATTTCTCACGGCATTCACTTCACCCAACTCCCAGACCTGTTGAAAATCAGCAGTTCATCAAGCACTACACTTTACAGATTGATTGATTGTTCTTTCAGAGATCAATGGCTTATCTTTAGAATAATGCCATTTCTTAAAATAAGGCATTCTGTACAGTCATTTAAACAAATGGACTGACCTCTAACAAACTCTTACTTTAAAGGCACAATTTAAAGGTACAATTGTTTCCTTTCTTTTTTCCCTTCTGCTTTCCTTTTATGTCAGTGACTCTATCACCTCAGCTATCTGAAGATGACTGCACGTGACTGACAATTCTCAAGGATTCATTCCTTTTAGATGCCTCCTAAATGAAGCTCGACTTAATTACGTCTGCACTGCAACTCACATCTCAGTACAAACTGCTAAGGAATCAAATCACAAAACTGTAAAGCCTAGAAAAGCAAATTTCAGACTTGGGGTCGGGGCGGGGAAGGGGGTCTTTCGTCAGTCTATGCTGCCATCTAGCCAAGATCACGTCGTTCAGTGCAACATCCATTTGTGTTTTCAACGCCCCCACGAAAGCCAGTCTTCAGCAACCAGCTTCAGAGACCCCAAAGTTAGATAAAAGAATAGAGAGCAGCACTTCAGCCACTCTGAGTCTATCAACCTCCTGTGGACCAACAGCTAAGCTCTAATGTTCTTATGTTCACAATTCAGTATCTGACAGGGCCATACATGCCTGTTTTCATTCCACATATTACCTATACCAATATCATTTGCATCTTGTGATTTTTGAGGCCTTTAAATATTCTGTGATTCTTTTTTAAATATTTAAATATTTATATAAATATTTATATAAATATTATAAAATAAATATTTTATAAATATTCTTTAAATATTCTGTGACTGGAAAAACAAACGTTGTCTTAGGTAAGACATGAAAGCTGACTATAACCTCTAATCTTCTAGCTGTACCTCAAGGGTTAAAAAAAAGAACCCAAACAGTATTCCTTAGACATAGACTGAACATGCAGACACATATTTCTGTTAAGAGGATCCATACACACGAAAAAACAAAAAGAAGCCGTGGTACTTACGATAGAAGACGTACTCAGTGTAACTTGACCAGACCTTGTCATCTGTGTATTGGTTGACGAAAGATGCTGTCACTGAGGAGTTACAGGCCACCATGTGGAATCCACATTCTGATAACATATCAAAAGCCCTTTCCAGATGCCTGAATTTGAGATAAAATCTGGAGGTGTATCTTTCTGGGGCTCTGTCAGGGTCTCTGCTCTCATTCAAAGTTTCTCCAAAGACCTCCTTTGCCAAGGAAATCCTTCCACAAACCAAAATCCGGGGAACTCTCCGAAACTTGGCATCCGCCTGCCCCTCTCTCCCCATGGTGCAGGAGCCCCTGTATCCCACAGTAATAAAACCCCACTTGCGGTCAGCAGGGAGTAGCGAGGAAGGGGGGCATATTCTCGTGTCACTTCCTTGGGAGGCATCTTCAAAGTCACTATGGCAGAATTCATCTGGGCTTTGCTTGATTTCATCAGGGGTCAGGAGTTTGACCAAGTCTGGGAGCTGGAAGTACTCAGCTTCCCTTTTCAGTCTTCCCCTTTCTGGAAAGTGATCAGGCAGGACCACCTGCCTGTCCCTGAGATAGTCCAGAATGTAACGGAACAGGAATCCATCTCTGTCAATGAAAAACCTTCCCTTGGAGTCCTTGGCTAGATCGTTAGCTGTGTCTCTCTTTGGGGAAAACATTTTCCACAGGAGGGAATGAGGGATGCTTATTAATGTGGAATGGCGAGTGAAATAAACTTGACCCCCAACGTTCAGCTCCACAACCTCAGGGAAGGAGTTGGGAACCGCAGCCCCTTGTTCTCGAGGATAATAACGACTACAGTTTCCACTCAGAGCCATGGTCCCTTTCTTCTTCTATTTTGACGTGAAGGTGCAGTTCAATGGAGTCAGAGCCCGATCTTTTGCACCAACTTGTAAGGGAGGGAGAGGACGCTAACTTGTTAAGAAAACTGCCTTCTCTTACCTAGTTTTTTCCCCAAGAAAGCAAAATTTCAAAGACTCCACAGGTGAAGTGATGCTGCAAAAGTAGTTTAAACCCTGGCAGGTGGTAAGCTATTACTTCATGGAATATAATTAACTCATCTGCATCCAATCTTCCCCCAAGCTCAGTAGGCAAGGCAGGCCAGGTCTCCAGTTACTGAGAGGTCTGTGTGAAGGAAAAGAGAGAAAATTATTTCCTCAATCCCAGCATGAGTCAGAAAAAAAGAGACCACTGGAGAGAGAAGAGGGAAGGAGAGAAGCAGGAAGGGAGGAAGGAAGGGAGGGAGGGAGGGAGAGATTATTTTACATAAGCAGCCCTGGAACTACTGATTTCACCCATTCTTCAACTAAATCGTAGCTTCTCTCAAGCTATTTTTTGTCTACATATTTATCCATATTCCTCTGTCTCCAGCATTTAGTATTAAAAACATTTCTATTTGATTTCTGCATTAAAAAGGAATATGCAATTTTCAACTTCTAAAAGGGAATTTTTTTTTTTTTTTTCTGGCTGGACAGGAAAAGTAATAAGCCTCGGAACTTACCTTAGTGAGTGCTGGAAACAGCTCTTGCGCAGAAATACCCATTTGCAAAGCAGTCGGAATCCACAACCACACAGAGTCTGGAGCTTGTCAAATCCCAAAGAGGTAAAGGACAGAGGTATCAATGAAGGGTGCCAGAGAGATGTGCTCTTAGAAAATAATCATATATATATATGTGTGTGTATATATATATATTTAAAGATTTATATAAATGTACATTTGTGTATATATATGTATATATTCACTTCCAATCTCAAGTTAAAACAAGTCACAAAAAAGTTAAACCGTGACGAGAGGTTGTATTGAAGAAGCAAAGCAGAGAAAAATATTTATCCAAAGCTTCTCCAGGAAAAAAAAAAAAAAAATCAAACCTTTGGAAAGAATCCTTAAAACAGAAGAGAGTTGCAAGAGGTACTGGGACCTAGAAGCTTTTCAGAAAGCCCAGAAGAAGAAAGAAAGACAGATGTGCCCTGCTGGGGTCCCAGGTAGCCACCCCACCTGCCGGCAAGGGCAAGCGGGCTCCCATGTTCCCAGCCAAGTGGGAGCCGGTGGCCGCCGCAGCGCCGAAATGACGACGGGGGGCTCGGGCTCGGGCTTCTCAGGCGGCGGAGCTGGGTGGTTCCACAGTTCCTAGTGCAGTTCGGATGCTGTTGTTTCAGCAGTGCAGGCAAGAAACCATCCAGGGAAATGACTATTACATCATCTTAAAGGAATATGCCTTGGAGAAAGCGGAGGCAGCTCCGAGTCACGTCCGCCTCGCTGACAGGTCGCCAGGACTGCACGAGGACGCCGCGCTCCGGCCGTGAGCACGCGACTCCTGGGCGCTCTGGGCGCGGGGCGGGGACGCAGCGCTGCGCAGCCACTCCCCCCTTCCCCGTCCTGTCCGGAAGTCTGGAGTTTACAAGGGCCTTTGCTTTGCCCTTTCCTCCTGTCTTCAGACTTCCACCGCCACCACCATCCCCCAGAAACAAGCCCCCAACCCAGTGGTGAGACGAACACAGAGATTTTTCATTAAAAAAATCAACAAACATGCCCGTCGCACGTGCACTGAATTTCTGCGGAAGGGCAAATTGCCCCTCTAAAGCTTGTTTTTATAAAAATTTAAAAAAAAGGAAGGAAGGAAAGCACACCCAACGACCCCCAATATTCAAGCTACAAAGTAGTTCTTTTTTCCAACCAAAGAGGATGAAACCATGTTCTCTCAGATGCCTTCACCTGTTTTTTCCCTTCTCCATCCCTCTGCCACCCCACCACAGGAAATAAATAAATAAATAATAAATACATACATGCATAGGTACAGTCTCTCTGGAATTAATGATACTCCTTCAAAAGAATCCACGAAGCACTGGTACCCTCAGAAAACCCAGGGTTTATATCAGTAAGTCATGAGCTTAGCTTCCATGTAAATTGTGACCTGCAACCTTTTTTCTGGGGCTGTTTCCATACAGAGCATCTCTTTGGATGTGCCCCCGCCCCCTCCCATCTCATCCCAAGAGGACTCTGGTGGAAGATTCGCCTGCAAAGAGACATTTTACTCCTGTCCCACAGGGTTCCCTTAAGTGCATCATTAGAGTTTCAGGAAGGCATTTCCAGGGCAACCTAATCCACTAACAAAGTGCTTCCAGTTGATCCTGCCAGTCAATAATGGCCCAGCCAACAGTTTACAGTAAGTCAGCCATTTCCCCTTTCAAACACCAACGTCTTAGGACTCACATTCCTAATGAGAATATAGTACTTCATCTATGAATAATATATGTGAGGCACACTCCATTCCAAACAATTGCTATTTTTAAAAAATGAAAGCCAAAACTGGAGAGGAAAGTATGAATTAGATAGATTTTATGGGATACCCGTGTTTATGGCCAACTCTTGCCCCAAGAATTAGCTTGAAGATAGACTCAGCGGTAGCATAAAATAATTTCTAATTTAACACTTTTCTTTCACTAAGAACCGGATTACTGAACATATTCAGAGTGTTAGCTAACACTCCAACGCCTGATTATGTTTGACTTTGTTTCTTTAACGAATGTATTAACCTGTTCTGCCCTCAATCATTGGGATTTTAATACTGGACCAATCAAGGATGTGTCTGTTATTTGACGCACTCATATCGCCATCTAGTGTCTTCAAACTATCAGTGCAATCTGTATCTGGCAACTTACCTGAACCAAAAGTTAGATTTTTTTTTTCCTTTATTTTAAGGTTTTTATAGTGGTTTGAGTATTTCCAGAAATGTTCTGTTCACCAAGATGACAAAGTAAACATTTAGTTGCCATCTGGTTAAGGGAAAAAAGTAAGTCTGAATCTATACCTATTAAGTACTGGTTTTGGTTGTAGTTAAGAGCAAATTATTTTGTCTAAGAGAGTAGGCCAGTACGCCATGACAATAGCTTTGGAGATTAGATATTAAAATATTTGGGGGGCAGTCTGACAGGAAGTGAAGAATGGGAGGAAGAAAAATCATAGTCTTTTAAAGATAAAAGGAACTTGTGAAATGGAATCACCATCTTGTCTTAAAGATACGGAAACTGAGTACCAGAGAGGGAAAGCACTTCCACAGGGTCACACAGCTGTGGAGTAGCAGGGTAGGGGTTAGACCACTGCATATTCAGAATGATCAATGTGCTGTTTTTAACCTTATGGATTCTACAATAGGGATGGAGAAGTGGCAAGCAAAGAAAACAAGAAGAATTTCAAGATTATTACACATTTGAAAACAAAAGAACAAGTCATTTAAAAGAGCTTTTAGCATTAAGTTGAGTTGAAAGGCTAAAATATTTTTACCATTTAAAAGTAGAGTAATCTGAATTTCAAAAATGAGGAGCTCTGTTTATTTGTCTGGGTTCCATAGGGTAGGCAACTTTTTTTTTTTTTTTTTTTTTTTGCGGTACGCGGGCCTCTCCCGCTGCGGGGCACAGGCCCCGGACGCGCAGGCTCAGCCGCCATGGCTCACGGGCCCAGCCGCTCCGCGGCATGCGGGATCTTCCCGGACCGGGGCACGAACCCGTGTCCCCTGCATCGGCAGGCGGACTCTCAACCACTGCGCCACCAGGGAAGCCCTCAACCTTCTTTTTGAAATGAGATTACACACACAGAGACACATTCTGAGGACTGAAAAAAATAAAACATAAAACATTCACCACACGACCTTAACCTTGTGACCACACCACCTGAAATGCACTCTGAATTCGTATTTCTTAATATATTTTAATGAACACTGTAACTATCCCAGGCTTTACACACTTGTATTGCTGTATGTTGTTTTGTGCTAAAAAAAGTTCATTTATTATAATAAACTGTTAAAAATAAACAACTGTTTTGCCAGCCCTCCTTAGGCATATTTACTTTTTTAATCTACCTGGAGCCTCAAGAAATTGAGAGGTTCTGGACCTCTCATCTTTTGAGAGGTCAGGGGTTTGAGTCAACATTGGCCCTAAGCCTATTCATGTCAGGTTCTGTAGAGCACAGGTTAACATCTGATCCATACTCTTTCTTATTCCTTTAGTCTCTGGGATACAAAGGCTTGAGAAGTGGGCTTTGAGGAAACAAAGCAATACACCATATAGAGAGATTTAAATAGTGCTAGAGTAATCGAGTATGTCCCAGGTTGTCTCAGGAAGGCTGTCAGTAATCCCAGCTGTTTGGTGCCTGAACAAGAGGCAAGAAGCCAAGTCTAAGCAGTTAGTGTGTTCCTGTCCTTCGTGTCAGCAGATAACGCTGCTAGTGTGATTATTCTTTTCTGGCAGCTTTCCGCTGAAACACTGTGGGATGCCACACTCAGCCCGAAGGCTGAACATCCAGCAACAGATTTCTCTTAAGGGAAGAGCGAGGAAGAATGTTCCATCCTGTTCCTTGTAATATTCAAGCCCACAGCACATGAAGACACACCACGGGTAATTTGTGGTATTGATAAAACGTGTCAGCTTCTGTTTCCTGTTCCCCACTTTCACACACCCGCAGAGCTGAATGTTGAAGAGTCTATTCTCAAAAGGACAATTTTAATTTTGGAATAATGGGATCACTTCCCATAGCCTCACCCCCTAACACATCCTTCAGTTTCCTCTCCCGTCAAGCACTGATAGCTTTTATGCTGACTGTCTTTGATATAAGGGAGGGAATTGATCTCATAAACTTACTCATACTAAGATGCAGTGCACTCATTGTGTTACAGGCCCCCAAGGACTCCTGAATTAGCACCATCATCTTAATAGCTACCGTTTATGGAGGGCCAGCCACAGTCATTACCTCTCTCCCTGACTGGTGGTGTAACGGCAGACGGGAGACTCAATGTCTCTGAGCCAGGGTAAAATGGAGAAAATGAGAAGACCTGCCTCCCAGGTGTGCTGGGCTGATAAAATACTATGATCTGCATGTTGGACCCCTAGCACGTTCCCTAGCTCTAGCTGATGCTTAATAAATGACAGCAGTATCCGTGATAGTGGTAGAAGCAGCCATATTTGTTGTTCGACTCAAGCTGAGGCCCAAAGAAGTTACAGAAGATGCCCGAAGATTGAAATTCACTTCTACTTCCAAAATCATTCATCTTCCCACTGTGAAGTTTTAGGTAAAGATCATTGCTTGGTATAAATGCATTTCTTAATAATGGGGGGAATTTCAGGCTTTGGTTAGGGGGATGGGTGGCAGAATGGGGAACTGAGAATAATCAATACCACGATGGTTAAAAATAGAAATTCCACTATCTTCTGCCAGACAGGGTTGTATTCCTGGTACCCTTTCATCCATTCCACACAGATTTACTAAGTCCCTATGTTGTATGCAGCACAGTGCTAGGTACTTAAGATACAAAGCTGAATTCAGTACAATCTCTGAACTCAGACACTCACGAACACACTCACACTCAAAATCATAGCAATGGAAGACAAAGATTAAAAGGTTCTAGATCCTTGAGTACTGCCTCTTATTTGCAGAAAATGATGCCTGCTGCTGTATTCAGCTTTGGGTCCTACATAGTTCACATATGACTTGGACAAACCACTTAACCTCAGGTGGCCTCTGCTTCCATATCTATAAAATGAAGCTGTCCCCCCTTATAGAGATATTGTGACTGATGGCAAAAGAAAGATAAAATACGGCTGCCACATCTTCAGAGACATACTGGGAAGTAACAGAGGAAGATGGCAGCAAACAGCAATCTCTCTTGTTAAAATAAAGCCTCACAAGAAAGAATTGGGATTAGACTTGTATAATTTTAAAGTTGGAACAGGAGACCCTTCAATATCAGCCACTGCACCCACAGCTCCACCTAAAAGTTTGAGGTAATAGCAAACATTCAGTCAAATCACTTCTCTCAGGATGTCTCCCTGAAAATACTCTTGAACTTGACTCCCAAAACATATATAATAGCTAAAGCTGTTTGTACCACCATGGAGACTCTGAAAGGAAAGTCTGCCGACTAAAGTTCTTCCAAGTGGACTCATTTTGAGTTCTGAGGTTTTTTTAAATTTTATGCTGATCTGAAAAGCAAGTATGGACTGCTCTTCACATATGAAGGTGACATCTTTTCTTTTTCTTCAAAACAAGGAAGCTTTTCTGGAACAAATGGTCCAAGTTAGGAGTGCACCATTTGATCATGAAGTTGA